ATATATATATATATAACCTATTATTATATAGTACATTTAATCAGTATATTACCATCTATATTATTAAAATTAGTACATTACATTGTAATATATTATATTATATATATATATGTATATATTATTATAATAAGTATATTACCATGTAATTAATTAAGTTATAATTAGTGCCACATTTTGCAAGTTTGAGGGTTTAATTGCTATCTGTTCAGGAGTGTATGTTGAAACAAATTAATAGATAAGGGGTGTTTAGTGAAATTTGATCTAATATTAATAGATAAAATTATATTTATTATCCTTTTCTATAAATAAAAATATATCTATTCTTTATTGTGTTTTTGAGTGCTTCTGTGTTATTTTGTAATTGCAATGTAATGTACAATTGCATGTAGGAATAGGTGAGCTCTTTCTTCATTTAGTGGAGTAGTTCAAAAGGAAAGAATTAAAGAAGAATTGCAATTTTAAAAGGCTATTATTATTATTATTATTATTATTATTGTTGTTTTTTTTCAGGAATAAGATGAAATGGAGTGAAGGGAAAAATTAGTTCATATAGTTCCCCATTTTAAATTTGATTTTTTTTTTTCTTTAGTTGAATAGGTAAGCTTATTTTAAATTTGATTTGTATAAAAATTGAGTTATAATTTCACCATACTACAAACAAATAAATCCAAGAAGGATTATGGAAAAACACCTTCCCTTTCCAGTCTTTCCTTCCAACAATACAGCTATCATATATAATTAAGGCACCCTTCTTCCATACCCTTTGTATCATTGCTAGTTATTGATATACTTTTATATACATCCCATTATTCTCAAGAATGTTAAAAAAAATAAAAAAATATAATATGATATAATTATGTCCTATATAGTCCAATATTACACTAAGCATATGGGAAACAACTAAACATCAAGGATCGAATACATATTGCCATGAAGAACAACTTTTCGTCTGGGGAACAACAACAACAACAATTCAAACTAGAAAATCTAAAATTTTAATCCAGACTCATATAATTTTTCTTCAATGATCTGATCCAAACTTTATACCATTTCAGTAGTGAGATAATTATTCCAGTCACCCACCACTCCTTGCCGGAAGAAGATCTTATTCTCAGAACATATCGACGTTTCCACTTTTGTTCACCTCCAAATTGCTCAAATTGTTCATCTAGAGAGTATGGGCAGGCCCAAGAACTAAACAAGTCTTCTCAAATGAATAGTGGGTTGTTCTTTCATCACTTTATACTTCAAGAAAAATACCTTTTGAAGGTTATTCAAGCTTTCCTTCCAATAACCCAAAATGATCCCAAAAAGGTCCATATACGTGTATTCCTCTGCAAAACATATCAAAAGCTTCTTCAAGTGGCATCTTTTCCACTCTTGAATTGTTTAGGAAGTGCCAAAGTGAAACAAAAGTGTCCCCTGTAGGGGTTCCTGCACAGATAGACAAACTTGCATGCCGAATCCTCTGCAGTTTTTGGCAGCAACACAAGTGGTAGTTGAGTAGAAAAGAGTCTTGGAGAGGTAAATGAAGTGAGGTCCGGACTTGTTTATCAAAATAGAGATCAAGTTCCAAGAAGGGCATGAGATCATGGGGATTGTTTATGAGTAAAGGGTGTTGAACCTGTCGGGATTTATATGCCCTGGCATATCAAATTCCTGTTTGGATTAAAGTGACATATGTTCCTGACGTTTCTGAAATATTTATGTTTTATACAATTGGTGAATTCAATGTATTATATTTCGATTCATTATAGAATTGATAGTGTCCATTTGATTACAAGAGATATTTATATATATGTATGTGATGGTAATCAATGCATGATATATAAATAGTAATCATAAATGGTTCATAGTCGGTAATTATGGATGGACTCATAATTAATTAAGATTTGAACTGGATCTGTGTTAGGTTGAGATATATTGCGAGAGCCGTCGTATGCAATTACTCCCTATCACCGTCATGGCATTTGACTCTTAAGCATGAGAAAATTATAGGCTCTTTTATTAATTAATAATTACTTTGATTTGTTCGGCAGATTCTTTGGGATCCTTAGACTGACACTTTGGGTAGTTATGTAATTAATAGTTAGAGGGTTATATTTTCAATATTTGCATCATTGTTACTTGTATTTATTTTGTATTGATTATGGCTGATCACAAAGTAAATTCGAAGGCCTTCGTGTGTTTTTAGACAAAATGATTTATTATATATTTATTTATTTAAATTGTTATTTTTGTCAAACAAATGTTTTATTGTGATCAAGCCAGAAATAATCAAAGGTAAGTAGTCGGATTGTTGACATTATTTATCCGATAACTAATTATGCATAGAGGGGTCAAAGTGCGACATTGACTTAGATGTTATTTATTATTTAATTGGAGTTCAATTAATTTCTTTTAGTGCAGTAGAAATTAATTTATGAATTAATTTAATTGGGTCCTTGGACCGGGCCAATTATTAATTCATTGTAGCCAATAAAATAATAAGCCCAAAGAATTCTCACTCATAGCCCAACTTGATATTGGAATCATATTAGATTTGAGACATGTGAATTAGAGATTGAGAAGGATTAGTTTTTTCCTTTTCTTTACCTTTATGTTGCCTATAAATATACATGGTCTATGTATATTTTGGGGGTGATTTTTATGAGAAGGAAAAATGAATATATTTTTTCTCTCTAGAAAATTAGGGTTTATGTTCTCATCTAATGGAGGCTCCCACAAACCTAGTTTTTCCAAGGTCATTCATGGAGGCTTATGAGTGATTCCTAAAGGCAAAACAATTACCAAGAAGATGAAGATCTAAGGAGAAGGCATCTTGCTAAGGGATCTACAATAAGTGAGAACATTCACTTTAGAGGAAAGATTTAAAGGTTTACTCAGACCTTTGATGTAAGTATTCAATCTTTTAATTGAATGATACATTATATTTTATTTTTGCATAAAACTTGTCTCTATGTGATGAATCAAGATCTATGAATTTAAATCCCTCGAAAAGTTTTTAAATATTGCACGTTTCCCAACATAACCTACATATAACACTACACTTTTTCGTACCCAGATGATGCGGGAATTGTGAGCACACGTAGTTCGCACTAGAGCCTTACCTCTTACAGGCCTGGTCCTGCCCATCGAGCCTCACATTGCCTGACTTTAAATCGGACACTGTGCAAAGTGTCTCACTCCCATCCAAACAGGTCGGTCGGTTAAAGCTCGGACTTTCACCTACAAGAGTGGCCCATTGTTTGCAATCAAGGGAATCTATTTGGTATACTAATTTAAATTATTGACTTTCCACAGTGTAGTTATTTCTAAGTTACATATTTCAGCTGCTCTCATTCATCTATGTAGCTATTTCTTCGATCACATCCCAGTGTTTTTTAAAGGAAAATGCAACTCAATCCATCAGAAAAACATGGCGCTTTAAAAGGGCCAATCTAGGCCATCTCCTGTAGTGCTTGGAATATTTCCAAGCCAGTAGCTCCCCCTCACAGACATCCACTAAATTTGAATTAAAATATTTTCAGGCTGTGTTCGACTGTAGGCAATTGAAATTGATGAAATTAGAGAAATTTGAACTAAATTTTCTCAATTCCAAGACTTTGCCAATTCCATGCAGAGCCGAACATAGGGTAAAGACATATTTTAATATGAATTATTTGTCATATAGAAGGCAGTCAAAAAGAGGTGTAACAGAGCACAATTGAGAATCAATAATGAGATAAGAGGGTTTCAACTATTAGCTAACAGCTCCCCTACAAAGACAATCTCTTGTTTTGAAATTTTTTTTTTTCTCAAGTATTTGATATGATACTCTCTATGCCTTTGATACCAACTTACTCATAATTAGTTCAGCTAAACTTCTAACATAGTTCAACCAAATTAGATCAAAAACCACTTTCAACATAGCAAATGATTTTGTAAAACTCAAGTTTATGACCTTCAGTTGCAATACTGAAGATTATACCCTTTTAAGAATACTGATAAAAGGGGTTTAATCTTCATTTTTTGCCAGATAAGATTACTAATTGGTTTAAGAATATATACTGATTAAAATGCTTTAATAAATCTTCATTTTTGCCAGATATGATTGGACAGGATTGCTAATTGTTTTCAAGATAAGTGAAATGAGTATTATAATGACAATTATGTCAATGTTAACTATTGCAACATCTAACCACTACCATAATAATATTATCCATGCTACCTGCTTTGTACTTTGAAGTTGTAGCCATTATTGGAATCTAAAATTAGAGTAAATCCTATGTTACATGGACTCGGGTGTGGGTGTCGAACACGAGTACGTGTCTTGAGGTTGGATCTATCAATTTATCAAATTATAAGACACGGGAACACGATATATAAGTGTCTAAAGTTTGGACACGAGTACTTGGACACTTTATATATGTTGTGCAAAGGAGCTGGGAAGGCCCGAAAGTCAGTCCAAAATGATAGAGGCCCAACAATAATTCAAATAGCCAATGAATTTGTAGGTGTGAAATGGATGTGGGTTACAGTCGTAACCCACAGCTGTACTATATATAATAATATAATATTATAATGATGGTACATGCAACTATGCAAGCCTCCTCCAACTGCAGAGCCAGATGGGTGATAAAAGAGTATGGGCCCCCAAAACCACTTACTTGGAAGTAGTAATATAATATTACATTGTAATTATTGCTGCAATATAATACTATATAATATTATAATAGCCACACCTTTTATATATCTATAATAATATAATATTACAATGATGATCCTAGCCTAACAAACAGTGAGCACGGGAGTTTTAAAAAATGTATATACATATATTATATGAATAAAAAATTAAGACACAAATTTTCCTGTCTTCCAACCTTTCTTCTACCTATTCATCTTCAACTTTTGCAAACTTCAAACCAGGACTTCAAACCACATAATCAGGGAGTTTCGGAGAGTGTCCGATTCAAAAATAGAGTGTTCGAAACGAGTTTTGTGTCTGAGTCTGTGTCGTGTCGGATACTCCCGTCAATTATGAAGAGTCTAAGTAACACAGAGTAAATCATCACATTGTAGTTCAATATTAAAATAAGCATTTTTGAAAACTCAACAGTGTTTTTATTAGGAAAATAATTAAAGTCACAATCAAACAACAAAATCATATTACTCATTGAAAAGAAAACAACAACAAAATCACATTATTTTAAGCAATTAATAAGTTTTCCATACAACATTGGAAAACAACCAGACATCAAGAAATAATACATGCTGCAATAAAAAATAAAAAAAAAAGGGTAATAGACTGCGCTAGCAAATCTAAAATTTTAATCCAGACCCACATAGCTTTTGTTCAATGATTTGATCTAACCTCTCTGCCATTTCAGGTGTCAGATAATTTTTCCAATCTCCAACCTCTCCTCGTCGGAAGAAGACTTTATTTTGACGACCAGTGGACAAATTTCCACTTGTATTCACCTCCAAATTGCTCAAATTTTCAAAGCTACACAACCTTACGATTTCATCCACAACCCCTTCTGTCTCTTCCTCTGGAGAAAATGGGCAGCCCAAGAACTCAGCTAGTCTCCTCAAATGAAGAGTGGGTTGCTCTTTCATCTCCTCATACTTCAAGAAAAGTACCTTTTCAGGCTTTTCTAAGCTTTCCTTCCAATAACCCAAAACATGATCCCAAAGAGGTCCACATACGTTTATTCCTTGGCAAAACATATCAAAGGCTTCTTCAAGCGACATCTTCTGCGCTCTGAAATTGTTTGTGAAGTGCCAAAGTGAAACAAAAGTGTCCCTAGGGTTCCTGCACAGATAGACAAGCTTGCATGCCGAATCCTTCACAGATTTTGGCAGCAACACAAGCGGTAGATGAGTACAAAAGAGTCTTGGAGAGGTAAAGGAAGTGAGGTCAGGAACTTGTTTATCAAAATGGAGATCAAATTCCAAGAAGGGCACAAGATCATGGGGATTGTTTGTGAGTAAAGGGTGTTGTATTTTGGTGTCGCGGTAACGAATCCGGTTTACCAAGGTGAACAAGAGTGCCTTCAACCAGGTGGTGCCTGATTTGGGATTGGTGATGAGGAGGATATCAGTATCCTGTGCTTGGAAATGCTTTTGACATGCAAGCATTGCTTGCAGCATTATGGGTGCAAGCCAAAATCCTTGATATTGATAGTTGTGGGTTGTAAGCCATCCATTCTCTTTGGGTAAGGAGGATATTAAGTCCTTGCATTCTTGGCTCAATTCATATTCTACTAAAAACTTGGGAAGAGAAAGAGGTTGAGATGTTGACATGGTGGTGAGAGGCTTTGGAGTACTCTTACCTTCACTCAACGAATTCTTGATATGGCATGTGTATATGATATTGTGTATATATATTACTTATCCTCTGTCTCCTCGACAGCTAGCACCAAAAAAAAAAAAAAAAAAAAAAAAAAAAAAAAAAAAAAAACACCCAAACTTTTGCCTTTAAACTTGTCATCTATGAGTATTATGATATCATTGTAGTGTAGCAACCATAGACAACACCAAACTACCATTCAAACTTTGGCAAATAATACACACCGCACCTTTTAGAAAAAGAAAAAACAAGATTGATGAAAAATATATATATATGACTTCATGAAGGATAAAAAAAAAAAAAAAAGGTCCTTCATTGGTAGATGATACAGTAATTTGTCAATTAGAAGAGTTATGTCCGGTGTATATATATGTCTTGCTTGGTAGTACAGCAATTTTTTATTATATTGTAACATGATTCATATATATATATATATATATATATATATATATATGTATATGCATCTGATTCAATGGATCAAGATTTGAGTTGTTAGTCTGGGAAAATAAACTTAATTTTAGATTTTTTAGTATTTAATTAGAGGGTAATAAATTGTCTTAATGAGAATTAGTATATAAGAATTACTGGTGAATGTTATCAAGGGCGGCTCAATATAATTTGTGGCCTTAGGCGAAAAATATAAAAGTGGCCTTTTAATATCTAATTAGAGTTTTACAAGTTATACTTAATGAAAAAGGAAAAAAAATATGTAAGAAATAAGAAGGAATAAAAAAAAATAAATAAAAAAAGATAAAAGTTAAAATAAGAATATGGAAAGTTTTACAAATTCTGGAGAAAAAAGAAAAGTGAATGAGGAGCTGAGTGAGAGAGAGAGAGAGAGAGAAGAAATAAGTAAGATAAAAGAGAGAAATATTTTGCCCCTATTAAATCTCTATTGGTTACTATTTAATAATAGATACAAATAAAATTTTAAGGAGGTTATAATATTATGAAATAAAAAAAATTGGGGCCTTTTTATTAGGTAGAGGTTAATAATAGAAGGAAATAACATTTTTAGGAATGTTATAATATAAACCAATAAAAGGTTTTGAAAGTTATAAAATAACGGAAATTTTTTTTTGGGGGCCTTTATATTGGCGGTCTGATAATAGGAAGCAATTAATTTTTTTTTAGAATGGATATAATATGAAGAAAAAAATTTGAGGCCTTCTTATTGGCTGGGGCCTTAGGCGACAGCCTAATTCGCCTAATGGTCCGGCCGGCCCTAAATGTTATGTAAAACCATGGGCCATGGGAGTTAAGACTATATGGTTATATTAGTGGGAGTTATACTTACTAAATATCATGTTAGTGGGAATAGTGGGTGTAATTAGGCATTCAAATATAATGGTTACACATATGTACGTGAGACCTATATAATCATGTACTCTGGTCATTTTAGCTGGAGAGAAAATAAGATTAGAGAAATAAGATGAAATAGTAGAAGTGAAATAAAAGTATTTCCTCAATTTTATTCTCTTCTAAATATTATATTGAGAATTGTGTGTGTATCTAGGCCACTATTTTTAACAAAGTGGTATCAGAGCAAAAGCCAACAAAGTGGTATCAAAGCTAAATGATCCTGAAGGCTTGACGAAGTTGATACTAGAAGGTTCAACATTTTTCACTATTTCCAATAAAGTAGTATCAGAGAGAAAACAACAAAGCGGTATCAGAGCAAAATCAAACAAAGCGATATCAGAGCCTAGATGATCTTGAAGGCCTGACAAAGTTGATACTAGAAGGTTCAACATTTTGAGAAAAACATGTTTCTCCTTGATGATGTTGAAGAGGAAAAAATGTATTTTCTTAGTGAGAAGATGATGTTCTCTAATTACAAGAGAATGAAAATCATTATGACTTCATGCCTCAAAATATGTGATTTGTGAGATATTGTTTGATAAGCGCCGAATATTACATATTCAAGCGCCCTTTCTTGCTTAAGTTAGGTTCATTAATGAAGTATAATGTACAATTTTACTTTACTTGTGTACTTTTGTCTTGTTTCGGGTCAGTTTCCCCGATTATGATTAAAGAAGCGGTTTTGACATCATTCTTGTTGAAGTAGGTGCGCCGTTGCTGAGGACCGTCTTTTGGGCCAGGCCTCTTGAGTCCTCATATGCATGGAGTTCGTGGCTTAGTGTTCAAAGTGGAGACCGCGTCAACGTTCTGGCTCGAAGAGGCTTACAAGAAGCCTTGATGAAATTGTAGCCTCAAGGTCCCGCGGGCGCCCGCCAACTCCTCAATTCTCTGCCTAGTTTCGCGGGGCCCCGCCGAGCTCCCGCGGGTGCCCGCCGCGCCACCGCGGGCTCCCGCCAAACATGCCAGTAGCCATCTTCGAAGTTGAAAGCCCACGGGCGCCCGCCAGCGCACCGCGGGCGCCTGCCGATCTGCAGAGAGCAACCCACCTGCTCCTGTTTTTGTGCTGAACTTGTTCCCTCTGCAATATTTGTGTGGTTCTACTTCCTTGGAGTGGTTAGAGCTCGTGATGGAGTGTGAGGAGAGGGGTTTTTGGCTAGGTAAGAACCTTGATCCATTATTATTGGATATATCTCAATCTTGTAAAGTTCTAGAGGGAGAAAGAGGGTTGAGAGGTTTTGGGTGTTCTTGGAGCTCAAAGTGCAACAATGGAGAGTTCTTCTTCTTCATCCTCTTCATTCCTTGTAGTAATGGGTAACTAAACATCCATCTAGGGAGGTGATGAAGCCTCCCCTTGTAATCATGTACTAGATTAGGCTCTATTTTGGGGATAATAATGTATAATTTTTGGTCTTTTCATAATCTAGAGCATATTACTTCTTGTAATGAATTCCAATGTTTATAAATGATTGATGTAAGTTAATTATCTTGTCTTAGATGGTTCTTATATTAATCATAATGCTTGCATTTTTATGGTGACAATGGAAATAAGATTATGAACGGTTTTCATGGCATGTTGATAGAGAAACTTGATAGTCCATTGCTTAGGTATTCCCTTTGACGGTTTATACTTGATTCCTAACTTCATGTGCTTTATCATTTGATTGAAGGCTTGATGATCTTTTACTTAAGATAGTATGTTTGATGCTACACCCTAGTTTAGGTAGTTCAAATGTATAAACTTTTGATGGATCATTCTTGTTTTGATTTAATGAACTTCTTGATGATTACAAGGCAACCATGTGTTGCTGTATAATTCTTGACCATCATATATATATTGTTTATCCCCAATGTAGTCTTGATCTAACATGTGTTAAGGGTTTAGTGCGGATTCACTTCCCTAGTCCCTTTGTAATTGTCTTTGCCTCTCTACTTTTTAGCATTACTGTTTTATGCATTTTTTAATTCTTAATTTTAGTGACAACTCTCACAAACCTCTATACCCCATCATTATTCTAAAAATGATTCTAGACACCTTAGTTGCCATAAACTAGCAATCTCAGTGGTTCGACTTACCCGACCAATAGTCCTATTTTACAATGATTTGTGCTATTGTAAAAGGGTTGATTTATAATTGTAATCGATTCGTCGAATATTGTTGGAAAAGAGCCAAATAATGGCATGCCCAGCAAGTTTTGTGTGAAGAAAGAAGATAAGGCATTGGTAGTGTTGCAAAAAGGCAAACATGAAGAAATTTGGGAGTATTTTGGAGAGTCCAAAACTCCAAGTTATGTTCGAAAAATGCTCGAGACCATCATTTCCAATCATAGAGGTGAATCACTACCCATAGTGTATTAGGTACAATGATTTGAGTATGATGAGTTTACGAAGGCTGATTATAAAAGTGTAAAAGACAAAATTGTGGAGAATGAAGAGGCGTACAACACAAATGAAGTTGAAGATCAAATAGTGGCAGTGGTATGGTTTGGATTGGCAATTAATTTGGGCTAAAAATCATTGTTATTCTATATAGATCAAATAGTGGGCTTGGACTACAATTGGGATAATGATGTGGCAGTTGATAAATGTTAAAGGAATACTGTATTTTGCATGGATTGCTTGCAGAGGCACGGCATATAAAGTTAGTATGGATGTTTTGAAGTAACTAATAGATACGAATTACATTGCTAGTATATATCGTTTAGTTTATTTAAATGCTGATGATTATCTTTAGGATTAGTTTATTTTGGAATTACATTTAGTTATGAGATAGAGTTGTAATGTAAATAGGATGCTTGTTTGTAGGTATTTGTTTTACGAATAATTTCTATAAATAAATAAAGAGACATGATGTACTAGAGGTCCAGCACCCTCAGAATCTTTTGTTATTATTGTTGTTTTCTCAAACTCTTTCCTCATATAGCATCCTTGCTATCTCTATCTCTCTCCCTCTCTATTTCAGTCTCGTTTGATCTCTTTTTATATCTCTTTCTCTTCTCCTTATCACCTTCTATATCTATATTTTCTCCCATTTCTATTCTCAAATTGTTACTATAATTATTCACTGTTAAAGTCCTTTTAATTAAGGCAATACTAAACTCACACTCAAACCACATTGTTGGTTCTGGCATGCCCGTAAACATATTAATTTAGAGTCGACTCTAGCCAGCCAATTTTAGCGTCAACATTCTTGGCACTTCTGATAGGACCCCACTAGGTGAGTAATTTATAGTAAAGATGCCTCCCAAGCCAAAAAATTCAAAAGCTACTGCTACAAACGAAGACGAGGAAGAAGAAAACCAGCAGATCGGTCAAGTAGGATCGAATGTGGCAGACTCGTCCCTTCCATCGAATTTTCCTATTACTCAAATTCTCGAAACTATTATTGTAACGACCCGAACCCGTGGATTCAAACCGTTAACCGAATCCTTACCCGAACCCAAGGTCACCCAAGTCAATTCCACTATATCAAGTGTTAATACATCTTTATTGCATTGCAAATATACTTCATTCAGGCTCTAAGTAACTTCCCAAGACTCAGGGTGAACTATGCCGGAAAATGGAACAAGGTGTACTATGCAACAACAGTTCGGTCGACCGAAGTGGGGCTTCAGTCGGCCTAAGTGAAGTCTCCTGTACCGGTCGACCTAAATACCCATTTCGGCCGGCTGGTTGTGGACCCAATAGTAGCTGAAACTACTGGAAGAATCGGTCGATCGATGTGCCCATTTCGGTCCACCAAAATGGCTCTGTGAGACCGGTTCCTGCTACTGTAAATGCTTAAAATGAAGAAATGCAATGGCTTTATGAAAACTTTGCAATCTACTCTAAACCTGTTTTAAACCATTGCCAGATGATATACTACATTCCCTCCATTCAAAATGCAAGTTTAACATACCATTTACATAGTCCCAAAATCATTTACATGAGTTATACATTGATTACACCAATGCTACTATCCATGGAACAAATTACAAGTTCTATAACTCATGAGCCA